CTCATTAGTGCTAGCACTAGCACTGATGATATTATCTAATTTGGGTAATGAAACATCTGGAAGAAAACAACCAAGCTCAGATTAACATCAAGAATCCCTGAAATTAAAAGTACTTGATTCATGGGAAAATCATCATACACTCACAAGTTTGGGTGATTTGGCTCTTCAACTGTTGATTATATTTTACATCATACTGCTTATGCTGTTTCTAATTATTATATGACAATAAATACACTGAATAAAATATACTTTCATGCTGTAAAATTCTGTGTGGAAAGTCTTCTTTGTCTAAAAGAGCAATCAGTTTTCTTATCATAGCAGATCATGTTTTTTTATTTTTTTCTATTTTAATTTTAAGTGCTTGAGATCATCCTGAAATGTGAATGGGCAGGGTTGGAGATTTGCATGATTTTTGTGACACCGGTACAATTCTTAATATATTTTTGTTGCCTGTCCTTAATAAAAATAACACTTAAATATTTTTGAAGTAATTAAGTTTATTTATAGTACACAGAACTGGGAAGGATGAGTGTATTTTGAAAATCAGTAAAATATTGAACATTTATTGTATTACATTGATAAGATTTTCCTCAAAAATGTTACATATTGTTTATTTCAAAATTTCTGAACTTCCTCATATATTTTATTCCTTCAGTTTCCTTTCTACCACCATCCCTCCAAAATTATTAATTTAATTTAAAAACAACTGCATTTTTATAGTCAGGATTCTGCAGTTAAATTATGTTAATGACTTTTATTAAATAATGTATTTATATTTTAAATTTTATTTTGGAATGCAATTTATCCTAATATTCATTTATTTTCTACAATACACATTTTTATTATAGTACATTACAGAAATGTTTAGATTGAATTTTGCACTCTTGTCCACCTATCCTTGCAAAAACCTGTGATAGGCAGATGATGGTTTTGATATATTAAAGACATAGTCATATGTCTTTAAGCTGTTCGAAGTAATACTGCCTTTTGCAGTTGACTGATGGTAGTTTTGTCCATAATCTGTTTGTGTGATATTCTTGAAGCTACCTACTATTTCTTCAGCTATTTCTTCAGCTTTTTTGCACAGGCAGAATTTGTTATGTATTGCTATCTTCTAAATTCTGGCTTTTTATGTATTTACTCTTAATACTTTGTCTTGTGCAGCCAGAATTAGCCCCCCCCCCCCCCCCCCCCCCCCCCCGCCCCGGTCTCTTTCTTCATTTTTCTTGCTCTTAGTTATTGCAAGATCTTTTATTTGGTTTTGTTTTTTTTAATGTACTGGCTATGTAACACTTTGACAGTTTCTTTTCTATTCTTTATTTGTCCTTCTTGTAAGTCAGTTTAGTCACTCCAGTACTCTGTAAACCTTCAGGGTATTCTAGCTTCAATGCATTTTTTCAGTGTCCTTCAGACATTCTTCCAAACCCCCTTTTTCTTCCTCAACTAACTGGTATACAAACATAACAATATAACATCTATGAAGATTCTCAGTCTAGGTCATGTGTGTCCCTCAGTGCTTTTTCCAAAAGGAACTGGATTTTCATGGTTTTTGTTTCTAAAAATATTTTGCTTCTCATCCAAGAAGCTTCTTTTTGGATGAGAAGTGAAACGTTTTCAAAGAAAAAAAAAACAAGAAAGTCCAGTTGCCAATATGAAAAAGCACAATTGGAACAGAAATATAGTGCTATATGAAATATAAAACAAAAATGAACATGTACATGGAAGCCTGAAAAAAAATAGTACGGAGATAAAAGCACTAGGAGATATTTATTGTTAAAAGTTTTAACACACACACACACACACATACAGAGAGAGAGAGAGAGAGAGAGAGAGAGAGAGAGAGAGAGAGAGAGAGAGAGAGAGAGAGAGAGAGAGAGAGAGAGAGAGAGAGAGAAACACACTTTATAAGGAATGCTAGTATATCTGCCATTAATTGGTAATTGACCAGTTAGTATATTTGCCACTGGTAATTGGCCAGTTTGGACCATAATGAAAAGTCTTCAATGTGAAATATATAAAATAGAGAGCAGGTATTTATAAATGGGCAAAGGAGGGGGTGAACAGTGAAATACCATGCAAGTGTGAAACTCTGATTCTATCTTTTTGAACATCTATTGTATTCAAATTCTATGCTAAATTATATTAAGGAAATATAGCCATGATTTTTTAAATTTGAAAAAGAAATACCTGTGACCTGTGCTATGTTTATATCACTGTTCTGAATATTCTTTTAGACTTAACTATCAATAATAAAAGACCAGAGAGGTAAATAAATATGCTGCCAATTGCTATGTGTAAATGAGAAGTGAAAGTCTTGGATGAACTATTAAGATGCCTAGATATATCTATACCTACAAAGATGCATACAAAGGAACTGCATAGCCAATAGTTTTTCCCATAATACTTTGTAAATGTGAAAACTGGACTTTGAAGAAGCAGAGAGGAAGAATGTACACCAGTAATTCCCTCTCCTGCATCATGAAACCCTGCACTCAGTCAATCATGCCCTAGTCCTAGCTCTTCTTTTTAACTTTATTTATTGAATTGTTGTTATTCTTAATTTTAAAATTATGTTTTTATACTATTATAGGCTTTCCATAGTCACCTGACACAATCTGACAGGTAGCATTTTAATCAATAAATAAAAATAAATATGACACATTGGAACAATGGCCCTTAAAATCAACATTGGAGAAACTTTAAAGACCAAAATAAGATATGATATGCAATGCTAAAAATTGTACATATTATTTTTCAATGAATAATCATTAAATGCTATTTTATCTTACTAACTAGATATATCCTGAGAGATTCTAGGGCAGGGATAGGCAACCTTGGCTTTTTTATGATGTGTGGACCAACTCCCAGAATTCCTGAGCCAGCTAGGAATTCTGGGAGTTGAAGTCCATGCATCATAAAAGAGCCAAGGTTGCCTACCCCTGTTCTAGGGTATGCCTAACTGAATATCTTCCTACTTCCTTCATCTAACTCAGGATTGTGCAGTCTCTTCATCCTCTTTCTGGGAAAACAGGATTGAACTCCAGACTATGGACAAAGCTAGCCTTCAATACTGCATTCTAAACACTGTACTGCCAGGACATTATTTGAATTGGCATTATCTGAATTTGAATGTACAATCAAGATTTTTAAAAAATAAAAGGAAGGAATGTAAAGTTGATTAATTTGATCAAGGCTAAAATATAAATAGGTTGTTATCTCTGGTAAACCTTCTTGATTTTTTTTTCTTTGTTGATTAGAACTGAAAGGACAGAGCTGTAAGGATTTATTTATAGCTAGATTTAGGGTTTTTTTTACCTTTCAGCTTTTATCTTTCCAATTATATATATATATATATTGTGTCCAAAAATCACGATCACCAAGAGTTTAGCTAAAATGTTTATAAACAATTAAAAAGTTTAAAAAACAGTTTAAAAGCAATAAAACATTTAAAATTATCGGCAACCGAGCTTTCGTCGGACTCTCCCGACATCATCAGGGTTGCTGAGGCGGTGTTTGGGAGGGTTTATATACCATTCCCACATGCCTGCATCCGGCTACGCNTCCAGAGACCCCGCAACAATAAACAGGGAAAGAAGGCAAGGCGCTTACACGTGGGTAAAGACAAAACAGGCACCGCGCAGGAGCGCGTGTACCGAGGACCGGTTACGCGCTCGCGTAGCCGGATGCAGGCATGTGGGAATGGTATATAAACCCTCCCAAACACCGCCTCAGCAACCCTGATGATGTCGGGAGAGTCCGATGAAAGCTCGGTTGCCGATAATTTTAAATGTTTTATTGCTTTTAAACTGTTTTTTAAACTTTTTAATTGTTTATAAACATTTTAGCTAAACTCTTGGTGATCGTGATTTTTGGACACAATATGGATGCACCCAAGAGTCGCATTTTTAATTCTATCTCCAGCCATATATATATATATATATATATAAAAATAAGATTACTATATATGAGTTTGTTTTCCTACATTGCAACATCTTTAATAAAATATTTAGTCCAGCCATGGTGTAAAATTAAATAATATTTTGAAATCTCCTAAGTTATTTTTTAATAGTACTTGGAATGTCATCCAAACTTTAAGACCCATTGCTCAGTTTACATCATCAACATATTATCTAACCATGTAGCATTCATTGTAAAACACAAAATTGATTTCTTCTTCACAGTGTACAAAGATTTTGCTGTTGCCAGTAAAGTGGTAATCCACTTCCAGCATTTTGTTATACCAATACAGGTAACTCCCTACTTAGATGGGCACCTGGGATGATTTACATGCTTTGATGAACCTGTTGGATTGTATGTGTTTAGTCTTGATCTATAGTCCTTATTATTTGTTGGTCCCTCCCAAGAAAACCCACCATCACAATTAGGAAACATTGCAGGAATTTGTGGGAGGGTGTCTTCTAAATAAAATATAAATTCTGGTATATGTATATGTATATGTATATGTATACGTATACGTATACGTATACGTATACATATATTTATAATAAAAAAACTAATTAAAATGTTGATTTCCGAGACTAAAAAAATTATTAAGAACTAAGCTTTTGTCAGCAACTGCTGACGTTGTCAAAGTATAAGCCAGGATATACTTTGACAACGTCAGCAGAGCTTTTAAATAAATAGATTTTAGTTGAACAAAACTAAAAATGAAAGTTGGACTTTTGTTAAAAAGCCAGTGCTTTTGTAGATCTAGATCTAGATGAAGATATAAACAAAAATTGCTTCAGAATTGGAAGGACCATCCTTCTCTTCATTAGTCCAAGTTCCCTCTCCTTCTCATCAATTTATTAGAACAAAGGTTTCCAACCAGAAGATTGGATTATTCTGGAGATAAGATGCCTATCTTACACTTAGCCCTCCCCATTACACTGAAGAAAAGTGATTGACTCCAATGATTTGCTGATTATAGATGCCAAACCAAAATATATTTCTATCACTCTGAGAACCAAAGCCTGGCACAAAAAAAAGAAGGAATAAGAATGAAGGTAACTGTTTCAATTTTTCTATCCTTTTTTTTTTAAATCTTTCCTTGAAGGCAAGAGATTTAGATATCAACTAAATCTGATACACTACCATTTCATTGTTTTTAATAACTAGGATACTGGAAGTAATGTAGACTGATTTCAACCTTTTTTAAGTACACTTTTGTTTCAGATTGTTATTCATCCTTTTTTAAAAAAAAAATAAGAATCTTTTTGAGATTTCTTGAAATCATTATCTTCACTGTGTTACCATTTTTCCACACATTTCATATTAATTAATGAAAATTTAATATATAGTTAGATTCTTTTCATTAAAATAGAATCATTCTTTTTTAGCAAATGAATTCGTTAGATTTGACCCATTCCATGATGTTTCCATATTTTATTGCTCACCCTCTATAATATTTTTTAAATATATATATATATTATTGATTTTTTAATATAAACAACTTGATATTTGGTAAATGTGTGTGTTGTCTGGGTTTATATTTACAAAGTAATCACTATCAATTGATTTCTATATTCCAAAATCCACATTATAGCTTTGCTTGATTTTCTCTTCTTCCAATAATATTCTCTTTGCAACCTAAATTAATACAATTCTTATTAATTTGATAAGTACCAATTAAATACAAATGTTTTTTTCTAAAATTTCTACTAATAATAATCTCATCAATATCATGCTTCATTTCTATCTGGTCATCTTGGTTGCCTCATCACAAATCCTGTTTACAATTCTTGTTTAAATTTATTTTCCCTACAATGTTCAAAACATTTCTACTGGTTAAAATTTTCCAAGAATTAATTACTTTAAAGTATTTAAATCTATTTTCATATCTTAAAAAAATAAGTAAGAAAAAGACACAAAAGAAAGACATAGAAAAAGAAAAGACGTGAGAGAGAAAAAGAGAAAGAGAAGAAGAAGAAAAAAGACAAAAAAGGAAAAGAAAGAAAAAAAAGGAAAACATATTACTTAAAATATGATCCCTCTTTCTTTCTTTTTACCCATAATTAAACCTATGTTTAATCTTTAAATATTCCATTTAATAAATCCAATCATCTAATCTTTTAACTCTATTCAAAACTCTATTTTTAGTTATCCATTGGAATTTTCTTAAAATCAATTACATTTAAATATCTAAAACATTTACTTTATGTTAATCATCCCACACATTTCTATAGTTCTCATGTTGAAAAACAAAAGAAAAAAAAAGATACTGTCTTACTTAGAGTTCAGCCCTCTTAAACTAAAATCTTTCAGTTTCTTCAGCCATATTCAAACAAGTGTTTAATTTTTAAATATTCCCTCTGATACACCCCATCATCTAATTCCTCAATTCTCACTTTGCCCTCTTCTTTTGCCAAGCATCTCTCCTAATCAATATATTCTGTTGCATCAAAGAGTCTTCCCATAATCTTTTAAATGTTGTTGTGGATATAGTAGACAAATCAAACATCATGTCTCTGTAAAAAGGTTTTGCCCCTTCATATTCATTGAAGATTTCTCTCATCATCCCTTGTCTCCCCATTTCTTGTGGTACTCCCAACAGCTCAGCAATCCAAATCTTTTTGGATTTTGTCAAATCTTTTTCCTTATCCTCAAATTTACTTTGTGATCTTAGAGTTATCTTTTCAATGTTCAATGATTCTTGTGTCCTTCTCCACTTGAAACTCCACTAGTTTATGTTCAGTTATCTGCTTTATATGATCTCTCTCATTTGTTGTTTTCTGATCATTTGATTGTTGTGATGTTAAATTGAGAATGCATTCATTTAAATTTTCAAATTCATTTTTAATTTCCTCATGGTTTGAAGTTAATATCATTTGCATTTGTTGTAACAGAACAAACATTTCTTCCTGGTAAGTATTTATTTTTTCTATGTTTTTCTATGTATGTTCTTTCTGCAGATCTCTGATGCTCCATAATGACCAAAAGTCCTTTCTCTGCCAATCACTTTAAAGTTGCAATTTAAAAAATATTTATAATCCAGGAAGGTCAATTTTTTTCTAAGTTTTGTAGTTCTCTATAATCTTGTTAATCTAAAACTCCCCCCCCCCCCGACACACACACACTAAATTCTGAGTTGGCATAGGATAACAAAAGGTTCAATAAGGCATACAAAGGAAGACTAGAAATTGTAAATGTCTCAATAGTCCTTTTTAAAATATATTTATTACTTCCAAAGTCTTAGCAGAAGTTCTTTGAAGAAATCATCTGTATGAATTCTAGCTTGTAATTTTAGAAAGGAAACTTAGATGGGCATTTTAATTTAAATATTTTATTGAAAGATCCCCTTATTTTTCTATTAAGTGATATATTGTGATCCTATCACATGTAGGGATTGTCCTGCATGGATATTCCATTCCCCTTTTGCAACTTTATTATGCTCTTTCCTCTATAATGTTTCTCCAGCCCTCTCCATTTTCCAAAATGTGCAATTCACAACAGAAAGAAAGAAAATCTTCTATAGAGGTCAGCCTTTATCACAATAAATTTCACTTTGTTATAAGGCTAATACTGTTAGAACTGAGATGATGCAGGTGTAGTTTCTGAGAATTAATGTTAGAGAGTACAGAGGAGAGAGGAATACTTTTTTGTATTTTAGTACTTGACTCACATTATTTGTACATTTTCTATCAGAAAACTACTGCTTTATATTGTCTTAATCAAACCAGGTTCTTGTCATCTTTTTCTTATTTCTCTTATTCATTCATTCATTCATTCATTCATTCATTCATTCATTTTTCATTCATTTTCTCTTGCAATGAAAATAGAATGCTATTCAAGCATGCTACCTCTTATAGCAAAAACTGGAAAAAAGTTTTATGATAGGAAAGAAAACCTATGCATGCACATTTAAAAGGAGACAGCCAGAAGCTGCAAGGCAGAGACACAGCTAATTTCATGCTTTTTTTTAATTTATTCCTCTATATTCCAAGGAATAGTTTTTTTAGTTTTGTTCAGCTCCATGATGGAATATCCAGGATATAAATGTCAGAAAAATACACTATTTAATGTACAACAGAGTCCTGCAAACATTTTAATCAGGAAAATGGCTTCATTGGAGATATGCTGTTGAAGATGCAATTTTTTTTTCTCTAGTGTGCCTATGGTCTATGTTGGCTGTCCTTTCTACAAAAATTAAATTATCCTGAAAGAATCACAGATTTTTCCAGATGTATATTGGCTTTGAATTAGATAGCAATAATTTGAAAATAAACATGTGCATAATGTGCATAATTTATTTGCATAATGGATGTGAATAATGGTAAGGGTGATTCATAAATACAAGCAAAAATTATATATATATATTCTTACAAGTAAATGTACAATGATCTTTCTTTTGCTGTCTATGGTCAGGAGTCTCTTTTAGAAGATTATTCCATAAATAAATCTTTGGATCTTGATTACGCTTAGGTTAACAAGTTATTTAATACATTCTAAAAAGAACTCTTCCATATTTGGTATTTCATCTGAAATGGGAATAATTTATGAAAAAATCATATATGATTTTTAAGTATCAAGAAAACCAACACTTTTATATATTCAACCAGACAGGAATATATAAAGCATTTTATTTCTAAGTAGATGAATCTGATCATCTTGACTGACAATGAGTTTTCAGAGTAAAATGCTTGCTTTTTGTTGATGTTGTTTGTTTACTCTTTGTATTTATCCATTAATTACCTTTAATATTGCAAATGATGGATTGTTACATCAGGAAAGAATTAATCATACAATGTATCTTTTTAGGTCCCTATAATCAGAGTTGCTGAAATAAGAAACTATTCTGCAATCACACAGTTCATCCTGCTGGGTCTCACCGATTCCCTTGAACTGCAGATTCTTCTCTTCTGGGTGTTTGCCTTCATTTATGTTATAGCTCTAATTGCTAATTTTCTCCTTATCTTTATCATATGTACTTTCAAGAAACTCCACACACCCATGTACTTCCTCATATTCAATTTGTCCTTAGTAAATATATTGTCTGTCTCAGTGACAATTCCTAGGTTACTCCAAAGTCTCTGGACCCATACAAAAAGAATTTCATTTTATGGCTGTATCACACAGATATTTTTCATTATATGGGCCTTGGGGTCAGAGTTGGTCATTCTATCTTTTATGGCTTTTGACCGCTATGCTGCCATCTGCCACCCTTTGCATTACACCATTATCATGAGGAAAGAAGTATGTGTTGGCATAGCAGCCATTGTATGGATTACTGGAGTGATAAATACTGCTGTACATACTGGACTTATGTTGCATCTTTCGTTTTGTGATTCCAATGTTATAAATCATTTCTTCTGTGATATTCCTCCAGTATTAGATCTTGCATGTTCAGACATTAGTATAAATGAGTTTATGACAAAGGTTGCAAATGTGGTGTATGGCATGGGTAGTTGTGGATTGACTCTAACTTCCTATTTTTTTATATTGAAAACTATCTTCAGGATCCGTTCTACTGAAGGGAAGAAGAAAGCTTTCTCCACATGTTCCTCACATCTCTTTGTAATCAGTTTTTACTTTTCTGCAATCATCTACACATATATAAGACCCTCTTCAGTCTATTCTCTAGATAAGGACAAGCTTGTGTCACTCATTTATTCAGTGGTAACTCCGGTTGTCAATCCACTCATATACTCTTTGAGAAACAAAGATGTTAAAGAAGCAATGAAAATGTTCACTGTAAATCTCAGATTGTTTCCAAGATCTTAAGGTTCAACAACAAAATACTTTTGAAGTTCTGATGTGCAGAAAACCATATTTCATTATGTGCTATGCTTTATGCTTGGAGTCTCTTACACAGTAGAAAATGCATCCATCCATTACACTCTCTCTCTCTCTCTCTCTCTCTCTCTCTCTCTCTCTCTCTCTCTCTCTCTCTCTCTCTCTCTCTCTCTTTGATTTCAGTTTTTGTTCTTTATTACTTGGATATATTTGAAGAAAAGAAAGACTTAATATAGATATTATTCTTAAATGTTACTATATACCCTTTATTTATATAATTTTATATAAATTATATAATAATTATAACTATTAATGCTATATAATGTAGCTCTACAGAATTGATTAATCTTTGATATATTAATTAAGCACAGTTTTTAATATAATATCAGACAATGTAGAGAAGCATCTACAAGTAATAGGTTTTCAATATGTATCTTGAATTTATTCTACATCTCATGAATATAATATGATATAAACTGATCCTGTGTTACATGGATTTAATTAATTGTATCTATTACTTGGGACACAATCTCCTAGAATGGAGTAGGAATGTTTTGGATTTCAGGGCCATACTTAGTCTTAAATTATATTTTGGAGATTATACTCTGAAAAATAGATCATATGGAAAAATAAATGAACATAATTTTATGTTATTTTTAAATTATTTTTAATATTATTAATTTTTAAAATGATGAAAGCAGAGAATACTTCCTTTATTAATACCAAAGAACATCACAGAAACTATTATTAAAACTTAACATTTGAGTTGTGATGCCTTTGGGCACAAAAATGAGTTCAAACCTACAATATTGGTTCTTTCTCCTTTTCAAATATTCAGCCTTTTCTTCTAGAATATGGAAAGGACACAAGCCAGACTACACCAATATTCCAAAATGACAACAGGAAATGGATTGTTTAACTCTCAGGGGAAGGTTGTTCCAAAGACCAAGGGCTGAAATGAGAAACCATAACTCCAAGATCCCATTAGGTTATACAATTTCACATAAGGGACCTGGAGAATATCCATCCTGCCTGATCTGGTGGGTGGGTAGAGATTATCAAAGACCACAGAGGCTCTGAATTTCAGCTGCTGCTGCTGCTTAATGCCAAATTGGTCAATAATACATCTGTGCAGTTATTAGAATGGAGTATGCCAACCTGGCTTTTATTACAGAAATCAGTTGGGTCTGGAGAGCATGAGGTCCCCTTTTTAAAATGTTCCCAATGGAATCTCAGGTGTGCCACCAATCAAGACCACAGGGCAGGGGAGGAGAATAAGAGTCTTTGTTGACCTTCAGAGTCCTGCTTCACAAATTGCTGGCTGTGAGTCCCTGATTCTGAAGATAGGCTTGTGGGAGGAAATTGTTTATACTACATCAACCTCCCTGCTACATAGCAACCTCCCTCTCTGAATTGCTGGACACCATCTTGGAATTGGCTGTGGAGTTCCCCAAGCATATGGCCCTGGGGGATTTAAATTGGCATCTCTAGGGCCAGCCTTGGAAGCATCCTGGTAGATCATAGCTACATGGCAGCTATGGGACTATCCTAGATTTTTCATGGCCCATAGTCTCCATGTAACTATGATCAAACAATGGTTACACATTGATTATGGTTTTCTTGTCAGAGCAGTAGCAATGTGATCTGGAATGGGACATTTTTGCTCTCTTTGTAATGGTCAAATAACCCCCTATTGACCATAACATTTTCTTATGCTACCCTTATTCACAGGGAGGCAAAACCTATTCAAGAGAACTGATGGACCTTTTTGGGTTCCAAAGGGAACTGCAGGGTTGTTCCTAAGTCTCTGTTGCGTAGTTCTGACAAAGCCTTGGCTGCTGCCTAGAATAGTATGGCAATTGGACAGGACTGTGTCTATGCAACCTCTCTTGGCCCATCACTCCTGGATCTTGCCCCAGCAGAAGATCTAGCTGGGACAGAGGACGTGGCGAGGGCTTGGGGAGCGGCTCCCTGAACTGGATCAACTTCACGAGGATTGTTTCCCCCCCCTTTTTGGTTTCCTGCTGCTGGACTCACTGCTATCGCTCGGAATGTACCCCAGGACGGATCTGCTGGCCCTGCGTGATTCCCCCCTCACGCAGGCCTGGCCCAGTACAATTCCAAGGGCCTGCCTCAATGAAGGGGTGTGGAACCCCGAGAGGTGGTATGCAGCAGAAAGAGGAAGAAGACTAAAAAAAACGAAATTAAGAGCTTTTTTAGAGGGGTGTTTTATAAAATTTTTAGGGGGTACGGGGGTGGCCAGGGGGGGCAGGGGGGATGCCTCTCTGAGGCCAAGGCCAGCCCTGTCTGAGGGACACGGCATTAGAACGGTGAGGGGGGAGGTTGGGGGATTAAGGGAGGGTGGTGTGATCAGTACGGTCAGTGGGAGGGGCAGATATGGCGGGAGCAGAGGACCACATCGGGTTTTGGGAGCACGCACATGCTGTTTACAAGCTTGTGGGTGCTCCGGTCCTCAGAACTCCACTCGGCCCCCAGGGATCTTAGACCCTCGGGCCCAGGATCACCGGCTGATGCTATGCAATGCCAGGTCCATGGTAAACAAGGCCCCCCTCATCCAAGATCTTATTCAAGAGGGGGGTGCGGACCTGGCAGGTATCACCGAGACCTGGCTGGGCACGGAAGGGGATGTGCCCCTCGTGGACATCTGCCCGCCGGGTTTCCAGGTATTCCATCAGCCAAGGACCCGGGGTAGGGGCGGTGGGGTAGCGGCCATTATAAGGGAGAGCCTATGTCCGAGGGAGACCACTGTACCTCAGATAGACGGTGTGGAGTCCCTCCTTGTGAAATGGGGGCAAGGGGTACAAGTGGGCCTGTTGGTTATATACCTGGTCCCCTGCTATGTATCAATGGCCCTGCCTGAGCTGGCTGACGTAATAGCCGGGGTGGCGGTTGAGACCCCCAGACTTATAGTCATGGGGGATTTCAATCTGCCATCAGTGGGCGAAACGTCGGCGGCAGCTCAGGAGTTCTTGGCTTCCATGACGGCCTTGGACTTGACCCAATTAGTGGATGCCCCCACTCACACGGGAGGACACACACTGGATCTATTTTTTGTCTCTGGCCAGTGGCAGAATGATCTGGAAACGGGGGAGGTAGTTATTGAGCCCCTGTCATGGTCAGATCATTCACTCCTGAAGATGGATTTCCGGACCGCTCCCCCCCGCCGCAGGGAGTCGGAACCGCATAGATGGTTCCGTCCCAGGCGCCTGATGGACCCTGAGAGGTTCCGGGCGGAGCTTGGGCCATATCCGGAGGATCTAGTTCACGACTCGGCGGAAAATCGGGCGGCGGCCTGGGAAGTAGCCGCTGCCGCAGCATTGGACCGAGTCGTGCCTTTGCGGCCTCTGACTCGGCGCAGATCTCAACTGGCTCCCTGATTTACTGAGGAGCTGAGAGAGATGAAACGTCGGAAAAGACGCCTAGAGAGCAGTTGGAGGGCTAGCCGAACCGAATCCGATCGAGCACAGGCAAGGACGCAAGTTAGATCCTACCTAGTGGCGATGAGGGTGGCTAGATCTAACTACTACTCCGCCCTCATCGCGTCATCAGATAACCGCCCGGCCGCCCTCTTCAGGGTGACCCGCTCTCTCCTCCAGTTGAGGGAGGNGCCCCCGAGGACGTGGACAGGATCCTGGGGAGGCTGAATGCAACCACATGCCTATTGGATCCGTGTCCCTCCTGGCTGGTACTGGCTGCCCGGGAGGGTACACGAGCCTGGCTCCAGGGAATTATAAACGCTTCTTTACGGGAGGGGGTCCTCCCCGCAGCCTTAAAGGAGGCGGTAGTGAGGCCCCTCCTTAAGAAGCTTTCCCTGGACCCAGATGTATTGGCTAACTACCGCCCGGTCTCCAACCTTCGCTTTGTGGCGAAGGTTGTTGAGAGTGTGGTTGCGCAGCAATTCCCCCAGCACCTGGAGGAAACAGTCTATCTGGACCCGCTCCAGTCGGGCTTCAGGCCGGGATACAGCACGGAAACGGCATTGGTCGCACTGGTTAATGATCTCTGGAGGGCCTGGGACAGGGGGTATTCCTCTGTCCTAGTTCTTTTGGACCTCTCAGCGGCTTTTGATACTGTGGACCACAGTATCATGCTGCGGCGCTTGGTGCAGTTGGGAGTGGGAGGCACCGTTATGCGGTGGTTCTCCTCCTTCCTCACCGACCGCACGCAGTCTGTATTGGCAGGGGGACAGAGGTCGACCCCAAGGCCCCTAACTTGTGGGGTGCCACAAGGGTCGGTCCTCTCCCCCCTATTGTTCAATATTTATGTGAAGCCGCTGGGTGAGATCATTCGTGGCTTTGGGGTGGATTTCCATCAATACGCTGACGATACTCAGCTGTACATTTCCACCCCAGGCCACCCCAATGATGCCCTTGACGTGATGGCCCGGTGCCTGGAGGCCGTACGGGTGTGGATGGGGAGAAACAGACTCAGACTCAACCCTTCCAAGACTGAGTGGCTGTGGTTGCCGGCTCCCAGGCATAGTCAGCTGACTCCGTCGCTGACTATAGGGGGCGAAATTTTGGCTCCCTCAGAGAGGGTGCGCAATCTGGGTGTCCTCCTGGATCCACGGCTGACACTAGAAGATCAATTGACGGCTGTGGCCAGGGGGGCGTTTTACCGGGTACGCCTGGTTCGCCAGTTGCGGCCTTTTCTGGACCGGGATGCCTTGCGCACAGTTACCCACGCTCTTGTCACCTCCCGCCTGGACTACT